ATCTGACCCTGGTTAGCAAAAATCATCCTCGATGGAAAATTCGAAGGCAAGAGAGCAAAGGTGGACAACGATACAAGTGGAATGACAATATCAAGAGATGAACGGGTAGTAGTCTGAGAGAGTGTATAACCAGAACAAGAGATATAACGCGTTGGAGATCCATTGCTGTCAACCTTTATTGTTAAGACTGAATTACTGTGTCGCGGAATTATCTTCCCCTTACAAGTGTGTCCCGTCATAATGTTGTCTACATCACCAACCGAATGCCTTTTGGTCTATAAAACATAGGTCCTAGCCCTATATGCCCAAAAGACCTGAAGGTGTGGAAAAGGGCCCTTTGGTGAAGATGAGTGAATTTAAACCCATTAGGACCGCACACTTCTTTCTCAGACCGTAGAGATATATTTGTGCCACCTTACTGTTCTCTCACTTCCAAAGGCCCTCCCAAAATCTAGCTTGTCATACATCAATTCATCACCAGTGTGCAGAATCAGCTAGTCTGTCTGTTCGTTTCTCAACACACCGGCATAACCTAAAAAAAATACCAAGTGACGCTAACTGCCCGTGACCTCTGAAGCGATGCTTGCCACTCTGCACGGAGCATACCTGCCTTCACCTTTATCAACATGCTCTGTGAGAGACTTACAATTACGACACGTGTGTACAGCTGATTCTCAAGCCAGCGGAAGGCAGCAGTGACTGCCTCCACCTCCATTCTCAAACTAGACGTGATTTCATATGCCAGACTTTGTTGCACAAAGCACACAGCGAAACATCCCTCAACTCCAGAGGCGACCTCCTTGGGCAGATCTTTCCAAACTGTGTGACGCCAGACATTAGTGTCTGATGCAATGTCAAGGTGTGTCGCGCGAACATAAATCTTTAAACAGAACCATCGATAATTTTCAACTTTTTTTTTTTCCATGTTTAACTTCGTATTTATATCAGCTGTTTGTTTTAACTGTTGCCAGAGAGCCTTACGTTGAAACCTTAAAAAAATACACAAATTACAGTAACCCTACCAATGTCTTAAACCCCGTCTTATGACAGTTTAAAAATGGCCGCCCAACTTTTTGCATCCACCAACAAAAGACGAGCAGTGTTCTGTTGTCTCCAACACTCCGCCCACCCCCTTTTTGCCCCCTACCACCTTCCCCCGCCGTACATAGAATGTCACAACTCTCTAACAAAGTCGACCATTCTTCTGCCTAACCGTACATATACTTACTTATCTCATGCAGAGGTTGATTTATTCTCTGGTTCGCTTGTGGATTTGGATCATTGCGTCGCTGACTTATCTTCAAAAAAGGTAGGTCACGGCAAAAACAGTTTAGAAAGCTGAAATCAGGACTATAAACTTGTTCTGGAAACTGCGTGTTGTGTACATGTTTTACAGATCTGCATTATTTTCATGCAGATTGTTGGTTCTTTGCCTCTCAGAGAGATGTACTCCGACTTCAAAAGAAGCCCCCAATTAGTCGACTCTTACGACATGCTTGTTAGAGATGCAGTGGGTATATTCTTGTTCTCCCCTCACTAGGGCCCTGGAACCCACACAGGGAACAGACCACAATTATAACCAATACTGCTTGCAGCTGGTTAAACGTGGTCGATTTTTGTTCTTCAAATTTTTAACCAAAAATGGAATGGAACAATATGACCAGAATAGCCCGTCTTGTTTCAGCTGAAACTCAAACATCTCGCACCTTACAGATGGCGTCTCTTTGCTGCTCAAGTTTGGCAGCTGCAACCATCATCAAAGATGAAAAGAAAGTTGAAAGGTAACAGTTTTAATTGTAGAAATGCAATTACTATTTTAATCTTGGGGGCGGTACCTGGGGTTCTATGGGTATTGAATGACGCCTTCCCCATAAATTTGAAAGGGGTGTGAGTACCCCCTCGCCTTCCTTTTTTTCGAGGCTCTTCCTGAAATTATGTATGCTAATGCAGGTTGAGGTTGCGATAAGAAAGAAGTTTACAATGTTGAATGCTGAATTAAGAATAGACATCGCAGCACTCGGGACACTCTCATAAGCGATCCCTCCCCATTTTTAGCAGCAAGCAAAGAGTTCTTATTCCGATGGTAACCAGTAAATGTCTGGTTATCTATCTGTCTCGCACTTTGCTCGAGTGTTGAGCATCTGCCAGATCCCCTGGTAACTCATCGCAGCTCCATTTGTCTCAGACCACAATGAACTATGTGTACCTTCGCCCTGTTTACTCGCTGCCAAGAGGTATATAAATCATATCTTGATGTGTAGAAGCGAATCATATACTGTTGGACGATTTGTGGTAAAAGAAAGATATAGAATTGGCAAAGATTTTGGTTTCTAGACGAATGTCGAGAACACAATGAAAAGATAAAAAGAGTAATGAAGACGTCTCGAAAGAAACTGAACTACGAAGAAAACTGATTAAGTATCAGGCTAACGCCTCTTTTACAAGTTGAACAGCGCACAAATGACTTTGAATGCAAAATGTTATAGACTGTAAGAAAAGC